TTTCTGACGTTTTTTGTTAGTCGGTTAACGCACTTTTAGTGATTTTCAACATAACCTTTGTATGGCAGGTGTCCGTTGTTATTATCCGATTTCTTCCATTTTTGAACTGTATATGGAAATGCCTAAAAAAAAACTACTCTGTACGGTTTGGTTGACATAGCTGTAGTAGTTTTCGAGATATGATATTTAAAAAAAACATTACGTCCAAATATGCCCCTCCCTAATGTGATCTTTTGTGCCAAATTTCATTTTAATATCTTTATTTATGGCTTAGTTATGACACTCTATAGGTTTTCGGTTTCCGCCATTTTGTGGGCGTGGCAGTGGACCGATTTTGCCCTTCTTCGAACTTAACCTTCTTATGGAGCCAAGAAATAAGTGTACCAAGAGTCATCATATCTCAATTTTTAATGAAGTTACAGCTTGCATGGACGGACGGATAGACAGACATCCGGACTTCAACTCTACTCGTCACCCTGATCAAGCCAAGAAATACGTGTACCAAGTTTCATCATGATATCTCAATTTTTACTCAAGTTACAGCTTGCACGGACGGACAGACAGACGGACGGACGGACAGACAGACATCCGGATTTCAATTCTACTCGTCACCCTGATCACTTTGGTATATATAACCCTATATCTGACTCTTTTAGTTCTAGGACTTATAAACAACCGTTATGTGAACAAAACTATAATACTCTCTTTAGCAACTTTGTTGCGAGAGTATAATAAACCACTCATTAATATAGGGAATTCCACTTTTGATGCATGCTTGTCTAGGCATGATATTTTAACCATCTTTTACAGAGCTACCCTTGTCTATAAAATTTTATTTCCCGATAATGCATTGTCAATAAATTTTGCGCATTTATGCAATGTTATTCATACTTTTATCTGGGCCCGTTGTAAAATCAACTAGTTATAGATTATTTTAGAACTGGTATAATATGCAATTCTAACGTAACCAGTTCGCTGACTATACTTAAATTTTAGTATGCTGATCTCATAGCATATATGTAACAATTGACTGATTACCAGTAAGAAATATGCCAGTTTCATACTATATATTCTCAGCAACATTTTAATTCCGGATTTTATCAGTATTTTTAGTGAAAAGTACCTAACTTTATATATAGATATCCATAAAAAGGTTGTAAGTTGGTTGGTTTTCTTATCAATTCGATTTTGGTCAGCGAATGCGAGTTAAAAAAAACTGTTGTTTTTATTACTGACTAGTTTGCTTTCACTGCCGGGTAATTACAAGCTACATTTGTATAGACTTAAATGTCTATCTACATATCTACATCTAACGGCTGCCAAAAGCCTTGCAAAACAAGAAAAGCAGGGCAAAGTTTGGGTGGAACAAAACCTTCAGGTATTAGCAAACTTGAAAATGAACTTAAAAATAGCGCCCTGACTTCATCCATACGTGGTGAATTTTATATAGATTTCTGACATATTGACCGGTAGTTGCGGTATAAAGTTAAACAGAAGTGCGAAAATATTTATGTTATATATGTACATAGTTCTGCTATCTCCATACTGGATGATTAAGCAAAGCAAATGGCTGCGGTAGCGAACGAGGGCAAGACGAAGTATCACGTATTTCAAACAAATAGTTGTCGGACTCGCGACTTGGCTCCCACGTCATTGTTGAAAATCATAATTTCGAAGTCGTAGATAATTTCATCTATTTTGGAATCAGTGTTAACATCAAGAACAATGTCAGCCTCACAGAACCAACGGAGAATAACTTTTGCCAATAGGTGCTATTTCGGTCTGAGTATAAAATTGAGAAGTAAAGTCCTCTCTCGACGAACTAAGAGCAAACTCTGAAAGTCACTTATTATTCCCGTCTTGCTATATGGTGCAGAGGCATCGAATATGACAACATCTGATGAGTCGACGTTACGAGTCGAGAGGAAGATTCTGCTAAAAATTTATGATCCTTTGCGCATTGGCAATGGGGAATATTGCATTCGATGGAGCGATGAGCTGTACGATATATACGGCGACATTGACATAATACAGCGAGTTAAGAGACAGTGACTACGCTAGCTGGGTCATGTCGTTCGTATGTTTGAAAACTCCGCTCTGAAAGTATTCGACGCAGTCCCCGGGGGAAGCAGAGAAAGACCTAAACTCCGTTGGAGGGACCAGGTTTAGAAAGACATGGCTCCGCTTGGGTCTCCAATTGGTGCCACCTTGTTTCGCAAGGACCGAATGGCGCGTTGTTGTTAACAGTTAAGAAGAAAAAAAGAAGTTGGAATTTAATCGAATCCCCTGTACAAAATTACTGTGTTATACTTGTATATAAATTTATTGCTTAGTTATGACACTTATAAAGTTTTCGTTTAGTGGTGGTTTATGGCCCAATTAAGTTCATCTACCAACTCGATACCAATTACGATATCTCAAATTTTACACAAGTTACAGCTTGCACAGAAAAACAGACGGACGGATGGAGAGACTCGGATTTCAACTCGTTTCTTCACCGGATGATTTATATATATGTATGTATATATAATCCTATATCTCTCCCGTTTAGTTTTAGGTGATACATACAACCGTTCACTTAACGGTACTCACTTCTCATTTCGCATGGCAAAATTTTTGGTTTTGTTGTGTGTGTAGTATATAGGCATAACATATGATTTGACTCAGAGCTGAAATCTCGTCCGAGGTAAATCTAAAAATACAAAAATAAGTTTTCAGTACCTAATAGTAGTAGTAACAACTGAGCTCCATTTGGTATCGCCAAGGACCAAACTGGTCTATGCGTGGCTTGTTGGCCTATCAGATTATCTTAACCTAACCAAACCGAGTATATTTATTTCATTGAAAAAGATCTTGCCAATACGTATCGGCCATTAGAAGACTGGTGGGACTAAATTTTGAGTTTCTTATTTAGCAACTTTATTTTAGAGATATTTCGACTCAATTGGCTGAAAGCAGAGATTTTGCAAACGTTCCACTGTTTCCTTGACGAATAACATACCAAATCCTTGACGATTGAGATTCTATTGAATGATCACAACCGAGTTCTCTTTGCTCAGCCCTCCAACCGTAGTATTCACACAGTAATATAGGGCTTAGATTTCCTTTTAGCGTTCATTGCTGCAAAAGCAGTTAGTTGAAGAAGCCGAACGGTATTGGACAGTTTAAAGGTGTCGAGATGGTATTCCGTATATATATATATATATATATATTCATTTATCTTTCGAAATTTTGCAATAAGCTAATTTCAATCTTTCTAAACTTGTATGCAAATCGTATTACCAACAACATATCTAAAAATCTTCCCACAGGGATTTGTCCAAAATGGAGGATGGTATCGCTGAGAAAGACGTGATGTTTGTGCATTTTATTGTGGCTTTTATTGGTTCGCTGGTTTTAGCCTTTATTAAGGGTTGGGAATTGTCTTTAGTCTGCCTTAGCAGTCTGCCGGTTACATTCATAGCGATGGGTCTAGTTGCTGTGGTAAGAACCTATATGTCTTAAAACAAATTGAAGTTTGTTGCCAATTAATGTGTCCATTTCATAACGCAGGCTACTTCAAAATTGTCGAAACAAGAATTGAATGTTTATGCATCGGCTGGTAATATTGCGGAGGAAGCATTGAGCGGCGTTCGTACGGTCAAAACTTTTGAGGGTGAATATAAGGAGGTGCAAGCTTATAAATCACAAATTGTGGATGCGCGGAAGATCAATATCAAGCGTAATCTCTTTTCCGGCATGGGTTTCGGTTTACTTTGGTTTTTCATTTATGGCTCATATGCTTTGGCTTTCTGGTATGGCGTCGGGTTGGTTTTGAAGAATTATGAGGGCATTCCCGGTTATGGTAATTATGATCCTGGCAATATGATAACAGTAAGTTAATGTCTTGTATAATTTTAATAATTTCACAAAATTACTTCGAATTTTTTTTTCTAGGTATTTTTCTCTGTCATGATGGGTTCCATGAATATTGGCATGGCCTCGCCGTATATCGAAGCATTCGGCGTTGCCAAAGGCGCATGCGCTAAAGTATTTAAACTAATCGAACAAATACCGACAATAAATCCGATCGAACCGAAGGGTAAAAATTTAAATAAACCTTTGGTACATATCGAGCTGCGTGACGTTAGCTTTAAATATCCAACACGCGAGGAAGTGCAAATTTTACATAAGTTTAATTTGACAATTAAACGTGGTCAAACGATAGCCTTAGTCGGCTCATCGGGTTGTGGAAAATCAACGATTATACAGCTGGTGCAACGTTTCTACGATCCACAAGAAGGTTCTGTCTATTTCAATGATGTCGACTTGAAAGACATCAATATTACTTGGCTACGCGAGCGCATTGGCGTTGTAGGACAGGAGCCTATACTATTTGGCACAACTATCTATGAGAATATACGCTATGGCCGTGAAGATGCTACAAGAGAGATGATCATTGCCGCTGCCACAGCGGCGAATGCGCATATTTTTATAAATAAATTGCCAAAAGTAAGTTTTGAACGTAAATTTACATTCAGCAAATAATTATAAAGAAAGCATTTTCTTTTATAAAGGGACTTGATACTCTGGTTGGTGAACGTGGCGCTCAGTTGTCGGGTGGACAAAAGCAAAGAATCGCCATTGCACGAGCTTTGGTGAGAAATCCGGAAATCTTGTTATTGGACGAAGCGACCTCCGCATTAGATACGGCCAGCGAAGCCAAAGTACAAGCTGCTCTTGAAAAGGTAAAGAGTGATTCAATTTGACATCCTACATAGAACACTCGCGTTCCTTTCATAGTGAATTTTAATGTACCAAATATGTACCATTTTGGTCGACCACTTTTTGCTATTTTTCCGCTAGAGATATTATTTCATCAGTGTAAAACGTTTCTGGTTGCTCGGCGGAAAATTGTGACAAGCAATTTTCACAGCCAACTTCACTACATTAAGGGAGTTCTGCATTCACCGAAACAAATGGTAGTCCGATGGTGTAAGTCAGGGCTATATGGTGGATGCATCAAAACTTCCCAGACAAGCTCTCCCAGTTTTTGCCGAATCATCAAAGATGTGTGTGGTCTAGCGTTGTCCTGATGGAAGACACAGCCCTTTCCGTTGATCAGTTTTGGCAATTTTTCTTTCGATTGCTTGCTGCAGTCTCATCAGTTGTTGAATCAATAGTTCGACTAGGGCGGAGCAGCTCAAACTGGATGATTCGTTTCCAATCCCACCAAATATTCATCATAACTTTTCTAGGCGTCAATCCTGGCTTAGCAACCATTTGTTGAGCTTCACCATGGTTGGACCACGAATTTTTTCGTTTATTATTTGATTCACTTTTAATCTGCTGTTACCATTTGCTTCAGAAATGTTTCGATTTCATTTCGTTTCAGCAAAGAATCGCAGATGTTAATTTGGTCCATTAAGTTTTTTCACAGGCAATTCATGTGGTACCCAAACATCGAGCTTCATTTTGTAGTAAAATTTCTAAATATAGCGAATTTCTTCATTATTTTCACTCATTTTTGAACAACTGTAACTTTTTTTCAATTTCCCGAATTTAATTTTTTTTTTGGTTAAATGAAGCTCACCTTTTCTTTGTATCTCATATGATATGACAGAATGTGATTGTGGATACGAAAAGACTTTTTCGACTACCCAATATTGGCAGCTGTGTCCTTTTCATTTTCCAATTTGCTAATTTTCCTTTTGTCTGCTATTTTCAGGCTAGCAAAGGACGTACCACAATCATTGTGGCCCATCGTCTGTCGACTATACGACGTGCTGATCGCATTATAGTAATTGATAAAGGTGTGGTCGTCGAAAGCGGTACTCATGCCGAATTAATGGATCTCAAGTCACACTATTATAATTTGGTCACAAAACAATTGGGTGATGAACCCTTTACGGCCTCCGTAGAAAATAGTGGTAAAGACAATAAATTCTTCGATACAAAAGATGAGGATGAAGAAATGGTTGAATATAAAATTGAAGAGGCAGCTTTAATTGAAGAAAATCTGGATGACTCGTCACTGTGGCCGATATTGAAGATGAATACACCCGAATGGCCGCAATTATTGGGCGGTATGGTGTGTTCGGTTATAATGGGCTGTGCTATGCCCATTTTTGCTTTACTTTTTGGTGAAATTCTACAAATATTGGCCGTGAGGGATAACCCTGAATATGTGCGGGATAACACAAATGTATACAGTTTATATTTTCTCATAACCGGCATTGTTGTAGGCCTGGCAACATTTTTACAGGTAAGTGTAATCACATGCGGCGTTTTATTTAGTCAAAGTCTTACTTCTTACGAAACTCAATAATTTTTGTATGTGTGTATTTATTAGATTTATCTATTCGGTATTGCTGGCGAGAGATTAACCGAACGTCTTAGGGGTATGATGTTTGGCACAATGCTGAAGCAAGAAGTTGCCTGGTTCGATGACAAAGCCAATGGCACCGGTAGTCTTTGCTCGAGACTTTCTGGTGATGCCTCCGCCGTTCAGGGTGTAAGTACATATATATTGGACAAATAATCTATAAATCTATAAATGTATTTTATAGGCAACTGGACAACGTATTGGTACCATTTTCCAATCAGCGGCCACTATCGTCTTGGGTGTCGGTTTATCGATGTACTATGAATGGAGCTTGGGCTTGTTGGCGCTGGCATTTGCGCCATTTATTTTGGTTGCGGCGGTTATGCAACGTAAGGTCATGGCTCAGGAAAATATGGGCACCGGCAAAGCAATGGAGAATTGTACAAAGGTATAGACGCAGTTATATTGTGGCTACAAAAAAAAGTCAAGATAATGTTATAATGTGGCATTTTTTGTAGCTTGCCGTTGAGGTCGTTTCGAACATACGTACTGTTGCGTCCTTGGGCCGCGAAGAGATGTTTTACCAACAATATATGGATTTGCTACATCCCGCTATGGCTGTAAGTTTCTATTCGCAATGTCTTAAGTTCAATGCTAAACAAAATCTCATTACAGAGAGCTAAGAAGAATACGCATTTCCGTGGTCTTGTGTACGGTTTGGCCAGATCACTAATGTTCTTTGCATTTGCCGCTTGCATGTGGTATGGCGGTTGGTGTGTCGTAAATAAGGGCATGGAATTCGGCAATGTTTTCAAGTAAGCATCTAAGTAATGTGCTCTTCATATATATTTAGTTTTCTGACTTCGTCTTTCATTCCTTACATTCTAGGGTCTCACAAGCTTTGATTATGGGCACAGCATCTATCGCTAATGCGTTAGCTTTTGCACCCAATTTGCAGAAAGGTGTTACAGCAGCAAAGAAAATATATTTATTATTTAATCGTGTGCCACAAATCCAAGATAAACCGGGCATATCGCTTGCGCCATGGACGGCGGAAGGCGAGGTGGAATTCAAGGAAGTCAAATTTAGTTATCCAACACGTGCCGAAATTCCCGTACTTAGAGGTATAATCATGAATATGAAGAAGGGACAAAAAGTGGCATTGGTCGGCTCGTCAGGCTGTGGCAAGTCTACTTGTATACAACTATTACAACGCTTCTACGATGTGGACGCCGGTTCGATAACCATTGATAGTCTTGACTTGCGCAATCTTTCACTATCGAATTTACGCCATCAATTGGGTATCGTCTCACAAGAACCGATATTATTCGACAGATCCATTAGGGAGAATATTGCCTATGGTGATAATACACGGGAAGTTACCGAACAGGAAATTATTGCGGCAGCCAAGAAAGCGAATATACACAATTTCATCTCAGCATTGCCATTGGTAGGTATTTAAACACGTCCAGCATTAGTTATGAAAGAGATAACATTGCAGAACGTTATTAACGAAACTTACTTAGCAATCGGAAACCAAAACTTTCCCTTCTGTTAAAGACGTTACGCAAGAATTTATTGTTCAGTCAAATGCACTCCGAAAAAAGTAACGGAAAAACTTGTCGCAATAACTAGTTCTAACATGCTGAACCGAAAAGTTTCGGCATTAGTTTAGCTCACCAATCGAGCTCACGATATTATCGCTCGACTAACATTCATATACTTTATGTATATATTAATAATGTAAGTTGTTTTTCCAAATGACAGGGCTATGAGACCCGTATGGGTGAGAAAGGCACACAATTGTCGGGTGGACAGAAACAACGTATCGCCATTGCTCGCGCTATGGTCAGAAATCCGAAGATATTGCTATTAGACGAAGCCACGTCAGCGCTTGATGCTGAGAGTGAAAAGGTAATAAAAATTGCAAAAAGGGCGAAGAGAATAATTAATAATCATTCGAATATACGCATAGATTGTTCAAGAGGCACTGGATGCGGTCAGTGAGGGTCGTACAACCATAAGTATAGCTCATAGATTATCGACCATTATTGATTCGAATGTTATATATGTACTCGACAACGGTCAAGTTGCGGAGTGCGGTACACACAAGGAGCTCCTGAAATTGCATGGTATATATCACACGTTGTGGAGATTGCAAACGGGTGGTTAGGGCTGACGAAGAGACTGCAATATATATATATATATGTAAGGTGTAAATCTCTGGCTGTATACATACATACATATACATGGTTAGGGGCTAATAGTCGTATTAACATTTGCGAAATCGTAATATTTTATTATTTGTAAGTTATTTATAAACCTTAAACTAAGTAGAACAAAGTTTGTATTCCTTGTATGTATGTATGTGTGTAAAAATTAAAAAGAAGAGCTAATAAAATCAAAGTACCATATTTGTTTTAAAAACAAGTGAAAATTTTAACTTCGGCAGAACCGAATATTGAAAAATTATTCAGAAACCGATTTTTATTTGTATTAAAAGAAACTTCCACATTTTTGTGACTACCAGTAGGGCATCCTTGACATTACCCTAGCTTCTAGAGAAATTTATCACTTGATATCAGAATTTAGAGTTCCAGACGCCACTACTTTTCTGATCACAAATGCATTATTTTCAGCTCGAAGGCATTACGTCCGGAATGCAGAGTGCTGAACCTATAGAAACTACAGAACCATCCGCAATCTGTATTGGAAGAAACTTCGATCAGCTCTTTCAACCGCGTCCCATATGGGCTCGATATTATCTGCGGGTGCGATTGATGAGTTCGTCGAGCTTTTCTGCTCTGTGTGTAGGACTGCTCTTGAAAGCTTGTGTCCGCTGAAAACCCAAAAAAGGAAAAGGAAAACTATTTTGGTAGACATCGGAGCTAATGGATAGCAGGTCTTCGAGCAGAAAACTTCTCATCAAAGTCTATAGACGATTGGACGCTTTATAAGGCAAGGCTGACTATATATAAGTTTGAGTTAAAGAAAACTAAGAGAGCAAAGTGGAGAGCACTATGGAGATTTGAATCCTCACGGTTTATGCGCCTTCTAGCGAAAACCACTGGTGTAACTGAGAAATGTTGGTCATGGTGGGATCGCGAGAAGCCAAAGTTTCGGTTGAAACTGTTTCTGTGTGCTCACTTTGAGTTGAACCATTTTTCTAAGGAAAGCTTCGAAAGCATCTAAAACCTTTCAATTCCCAAGGGCATCTTAACCGGGCTCCAGGCCTTCGAAGCATGGCCTAATCTTACACAGTTCACGTGCAGTTAGCTGTATGACATCTTGACCGTCCGCTGCTGTTGAGTTGGAAAGAACTCTCACTCCGGTGACAAGGATTTCATGCCCATTAGTCTTCCTCGTTTCCGTTGAAGACGTTAAATAGACTCATGGTCCTCAGAAGACCGAAAGGAAAATTTTTAAATATCCAATATGCTTATATAAAAGTCAGATCGGTTGATCGGTTTTGCACATCGCAAACTGGATGCAATGTTATGGCTAGAGGGAGCCCTTAACCAAAAGGAATTAGCTGTTGGCACCTTTTACGACGACGAGGGCGCCTTTAACAATGTGCGACGTTAACCATCGGAATTTATAGGTTTATTACCATTTTATTATAAATTAGTATTAGCACTTTATTCGAGAGTGCAAACAATTTTAATAACTTTAATTCGGAGACATTTTCGAGCACTTCGCTTGCATTAATTAGTATATAAGCAGTATGTATGTACTAGATTATGGCAAGTTTTTTGACCTTAAATTGCATTGTGGTCATTTAATAGAATCAGCACTGTTGGAATTTGCATTAAACTTTGTTTACAACTGCTTTTAGAACTTAAACATTATATTATGCATATATAGAATATATACAGATAACCGCTTAAGTTGAATGCATGTGAACTTGAATATATAATTTTTAGTTTTTTATGCCTTATATGTTATTTTATAGGGGTCATATGCTATAACTGTGTATAGAGTGCTTTATAAAAAATGCTACAAAGTACTGTTAGCAAGCGAGCGGAGAACGAAAGATATGCATATGGTCACATAAATATGTAAACCATAAGGGGTTCGTTTGTGGAATTTGGAGTTGTATAGAGATCTACAAGTTGTTGGTTATTGCGTCTTTTCTGTTTTTTAACGGCAAACATATTCACCAAATATTTTGAGAGAATACTGTCCAGTTGACAGTCTTTGATCTGAAAAAATGTGGATTCATTCTGGCTAAGCAAGACCAAATATCTACTTAGATATACTCACCCATCTTGAGATCCAGCCGAACCGAACCGAATAGATCATATCTATCAAATATAGCAGCCAAAACTGATAATGTGCACGAATACCGTTGAGAGTCGATTCGGCGCCGTTCGCAGTAACTCGGACTGACGTATGAAACGACTTGGCGCATTTTACGTCGAGACCTTAAATTGAAAGCATAGTACAAAATACAGCTTGTACAAGAACAGAAACCGCTTAATCTTCGCAAGTGTTATCGGTTCGCTCTATGGGCTCTTGAACAGTTCTAAAAAGATCCGATGTTTTCGAGCCAAATTTTGTTCAGCGAAGAGGTCCATTTTTGGCTTAATGGGTATAAGCAAAAATGCCGCATTTGGGACGAATCCAGAAAAGATTATGGTTGGGTGTGGTTTGCGGGTCGGTGGAATCATCGGTCCATATACTATCTTCGAATATGATGCCGGTGAGAAGGTAACCCTGAATGGCGACACTTATCGCGCCACTTCATACACATCTTTCCTATCAATAGATCTGTTGAGAAAACACTACGGTGAGCAGATAATTTCACGTTTTGGGTCAGTCGATTGGCCACCAAGATCTTGTGGTATCACTCAGTTAGCCTTCTCCTGTGGGTATAAGTAAAGTATAAATTCCATGCGGATAATCGCGCCTCGATTCAGACCTTGGAGCAAAACAACAAATAAATATTCCCATTAAAATTGAAGTTACTGTGTTGTTCCTCTAAAAAAGTAGCGAACCTCGAATTGAATACGCACAATCGTTAGGTGAACCAAACCATTACATTCTGTAGCAACTTAAGTATAAAAATATTAAATTAATACATTTTTTAAATAAATATATTTATTAGGTCCATAAAAAAATTAAATATTAATCCTAGCTGTGCTATTTATTATATCTAAATTTTGGTGCTTTTGTATACAAGTCCATATATAAGGCGTCAGTTTGTCCCCGAAACTCTCGCTGAACGATTTTGGACAGTTCATTTTGGCGAATGCTTCCATGCTGTAAAGAGACAACTGCAGCGCCATGCCGAAAAGGATAAATAACCATACAATCACATTTCCAAACCGACCACTTAACGGTAGATGCATTATTATATAACTGAGAATACCGAAGCATATGTAATTTACCGGCAAGAACAACTGCAAAGCTAAACCGATTAGTAGTTCATGCACGAGAGCAGAAATTGTCACAACCGCGCATGAGCAGACATAGCGATTAGAACACACATAGCTGTAGCAATCCTTATAGATGTACTCATACAGCCAATCCTGTACCAAACAATTCCACCTGATAAAATAATCGCGATAATTTGTAACACACCACCAATTTGTAAAGAATCTACGATCACCGAAGTGTAACAGCTCAGCAAAGAGATTTTGTACCGAATACAACAACATATAAATAAACAAGAGTAGACATAGTGTTGAAGGCATTAACATGCCATAGAAACACTCAATAATAGTCGACCAATGTGGTGCCGTAACACCGAATACACGATAGTAGGGTTTCATGAAACGCTCGTAAAAGAAGGTGAAGTAATAGATGGCAAGGAGAATTTCCAATAAACGCGCCCAAACAAAGGTCCAACGTATCGGAGCGTTAGTACGCGGATATGAGGTGCGATAGATCAGCACTGGTGCGAGTAGAAAGTAAATGTAATGGTGTAGACCCGGCAGTTGGATCGTACTGTTAGTTGTGGATGCTGGTTCGGCGCTTTGGCCAATTGTTGAACGTACGAAGGCGTGCATTTTCATTATGATGCGCGTGCTCTCCATTAAGATAAAGAGCGCTGAGCCCAAACGTAGGTCGTAGTGTAGACAGCATAGCGCGCACAAGGAAAAGCTCGCGCAGACCGTTGTGATGTAGCATGCTAGGAACACCGTATTTATGAATGACTTGTAGATAGCTGCGAAGAGAGATTTAAAAGATAGTTTATTTGTCTTATTATGAAGTTGAATAGTTATGTTACCATGCTTACTTAAAGCGTGTACTTTTAGCCATAAGGAGACACCAAAATATACTAGAAACGCGCTGAAATGCATAACAAACCAGCAGCCAATAGCATATTGAAGTCCTTTAAAACCTGGTTCCAGTGTTAGCCAACCCAAGTAAATTCTTTTATAAAATAGTTAACCACAGAATAAAACAGCAGTTTTTAATAATAGACTACAAAATAATGGATAGGACTCAATTTTTTTTTTCAATAGTAAGTTAAAAAGGGTCTGTTAAGGGGTTACATGGGTTTCCACGGTTAAGAAACCTTTCTTTGAACAATTTTTTCTCTTATAAAAAAGAAATATTTTATTAGAATTTTTTATTGTACACTATTAATAAAGGAAATCCGGAAATTTTTGGAAAAAAGTATTTTAAGCTTCGCCATTGTGACGTCATTTCCGGTGACCTCTCAGAAAAAAGTTTCACCCACGTTGGCAGTATAATTCTTTACAGGATCAGCTAAAGTGAAAAATTACGTGATTTAGTTAAAAACTTAACTTAAAACTTGGACGAAGTATAAAAAATACAGAAAATTGGATTTTTGGCAGAAATTTTTACAAAAAAATAGAAATTTCAGTGAAAATTTCGCAACATTTTTTTCAAATAGTCATGTTCAAGTCTTTAAGAACTGTATCTCAAAGACTTGTGTAAAATTTTATGAAAATCGGTTGAGTATTTCTCGAGAAATCTTACCAACCGACTTCAAAAACAAAGTTTCGAGAAAAATGCATATAAAAACGGCGCACTTAGCCTAACTATCCTCCAGCGCATAAGTTCTCAAGGCTCTATCACCGAAACTATTACTCGAATCCACTTGATAATTTGGGGGAATATTCTAGAGATGGTGCAAACTTTAATAAGACAATAAAAAATATTGGGTTTTTGAAACCCGTAAACCCATGTAACTCCTTAAAGCAGTGAGTATGTTTAAGTTTTGCTCTTGTAGCGGCAGCAGTCTAACTCATAATGGCTGATACTCTTTATATATTTTAATTATTTACAAACTTGCTAGCATTTTGTATGTAGTCGTAAGTGACATTCACCGGTCGTGTATTTGCCGCAAACGAAGTCGGCCATGGAAAGCAAGAGCAGTTGCTAAGCAAAGCTTCGATTGCTAAGTAATTATATGAGCATAGATAAAATCATAATATGATATATTTAAAAAAATTT